AAAACCCCCCAAAAAGGCCTGTGAACCTAAAAGCCCACAAAGCCTGCAATGTAGGAGTCGGAAAACTTACTAATCGTCTTCCCTTATGGTCCTTTTGTAATCATGCGATAAATAACCCCAACCCCCCCCCCCCCCCCCCAGAAAAAGAAAAAATGACATGAGAAAGGCCCCTAAACCCCAAAGCCCTAAAAGCCCTAGATGCCCTGTGAACCCGAGCCCCGACGGCAACCGGCGAGCCCTCCGTGGGCCAAAAAGTCACCAGCAAAGATAGAGGAAAAGAACCAAACATGCATGGGTTCAGGGTTTAGGGTTCGGGGTTCAGGGTTCAGGGTTCAGGGTTTAAGGTTTAGGGTTTAGAGCGGCTTTAGTGTAGGCGAGATCCAGAAGGCCGCCAAAAGCAGAGTCACTCCTGGGAGGCCTCCAAAGACGCCCGGCGAATCGGGAGACGCCTCTGCGCCTGCAGCCTCCAACCCAGGCAGGGTTGAGCCGTTTAGGGTTAGGGTTTACGAGTTAGGGTTTAGGGTTTGGGGTTTGGGGTTTGGGGTTTAGGGTTTAGGGTTTAGGTTGAGCGTTTAGGGTTTAGGGTTTAGGGCAGGGTTGGGCCGTCGAGAGATCACGGGTTGAAGTAGATTATAACCAGCATTTATACGTAATTGGTACTGTAAGAACCTAAAACCCTAAACCCTAAACCCCTAAACCCTCCACAAGAACAGTAGGTTTTGGGTTCTGAATGTAACGGCGGCGAGATGCGCATGTGCGCGCGGACTCAGCGGCATGCCTCCCACAAAAGACTGACAGCCTGAGCTCTTCCCAAACCCTGGATGTAGTGTCTAGGGTTTGGGGTTTAGGGTTTAGGGTTTTAGGGTTTAGGGCTTAGGGTTTAGGGTTACGACCGAACTAAAAAACCCTCCGATGAGCTCAAGGATTCCTACATTCTACGGTTCCATCTAGGATTTATGAATAAGTTTGGTGTTGGGATGTTTGCCCGTATACTAACAGTCCTGAATAGGGATTATGGTACACCCCCCCACCCCCCCCCCCCCCCCTTAAAATTTTCCCAATGAACGACCGTTTTCTATAAGGGGGGGGGGGGGGGTCCCAAAGTTTGGTGCACTGAAGAGTTTTAGAGTTCAGGGTTTTACCTAAACCACCCAAACCCTAGGCCCAAAACCCAACAGGGTTTTACGGCGGCTGTAGATCAGCTGCTGCTCTCAGGCCACACTCGTGGCGGAGGTCCCCCTGCTGCATCTGGGGTTTAGGGTTTAAGGTTTAGGGTAAAGGGTTTAGGGCTGCAGCCTCCTGTTCTTGAATGTCAGCAAGCGATTGAGTGGTTAGGTTGGGAGTGTGGTTATCCACTAATTGCTAAAGAACGCCCCAAACAAGTAAACAGACTAAGCTACATATTTCTCTCTAAGGACGAATATTGTTTCATTTCTTGGGAGTTTCTTAAGCCCATAGTAGTTATGTTGGGGGGCAGGGCTGGGGGGTTTGGAGCGGGGGGGGGGGGGGGTTGTAGAAACGGTCCAAGCTGCTGCGACCTGCTGTTCACGGCTCAGATGTTAATCAAAACACATCTCGCGCCATCGGGGCGCGAATCCAATAAAACTTTTCCAGCGGGTAGTGCCAAGTCGAGCGATGCAGCGTGCTCAGTTCGAGGAGCATCCCTAAACCATAAACTCTAAACCCTAAACCCTGAACCCTAAACCCTAAACCCTAAACCCTAAACCTTCGAGGAGCATGAGGTGATCACGAAGAACACCTTCCTGCACATCCCCGACGAGCCCAGCGAGTTGGTGATCCCGAAAAGGCCCTAAGGGGTACAAGGAGGAGGGACCCAGAATCGTTTTCCCCTAAAAAGTCAAAAATAAATCAATATATATATATGTATATTTGTATATATATGTATATGTATATATATATATATATACATACATATGCTCGCCCCCCCCCCCCCCCCATGATCCACACATTTGGCGCCCCGGGTACTCCAGATTTCTTCTGCAAATCTGGAGTCTGGAGTCCGGGGCCCCGGTACTCCAGATTTTTTCTGGAAATCTGGAGTCTGGAGTCCGGGGCCCCGGTACTCCAGATTTTCCGGGGCCGGGGTACTCCGGATTCTGCTGGAAATCTGGAGTCTGGAGTCCAGGGGCCCGGGTGCATATGGAGTCCGGGGCCCATGTTCTCCATATGCACGTTTAGGGATTACGGTTTAGTGTTCATTGTTTAGGATTTGCAGGGTTTAGTGTTTAGGGTTCAGTGTTTAGTGTTTAGGGTCTAGTGTTTAGGTTTTGGTTTTACAGGCTTAGGGTTTACTTTTTAGGGTTTAGGGTTAAGCGACTTGGATAATGTCTAAAACCCTAAACCTTATAATGATGAAGTTTTAAAACCCCTAAACGACTCAAACCCCATGTCTTTTTGGTTTGGGGTTGGTGAAGGGTTCAGGATGTGTTGTTTCGGGTTTAGGGTTTAGTGTTCAGTGTTTAGGGTTTAGTGTGTAGGT